AAAAAAAAAAAAAATACAACTCACAACTTATAGCAACCTCAAACTCTTGGGCTTAAGCAATTCTTTTGCCTCAGTCTCCCAAGTAGCTGGGACTGCAGGCACCGACCACAATGCTAGGCTTGTTGTTGTTGTTGTTGTTGTTGTAGTTTAGCAGGCCCAGGCTAGGTTAGAACCCACCAGCCCCACTGAGCTACTGGCATCAAGCCAGTATTTGGCCTTCTTTGCTTAGCTTATTTCACTTAACATAATATCCTCTAGATTTCATCTGTGTTGTCACAAATGACAGGATTTTATTTTTATTTATGGCTGAGTAGTATTCCACATATGTGTCTGTGTATAATACATATACCACATTTTCTTTATCCTTTCATCCATTGCTTGGTACTTAGGTTGATTTCATGTGCTGGCTATTGTGAATAATGCTGCAGTAAATAGGGAGATGTAGATATCTCGGTTTTTTTGAGGCAGAATCTCAAGTTGTTACCCTGAGTAGACTGCTGTGGTGTCACAGCTCACAGCAACCTCAAACTCTTGGGCTTAAGCAATTCTCTTGCCTCAGCCTCCCAAGTAGCTGGGACTACCAACACCTGCCACGATGCCCAGCTGTTTTTTTGTTGCAGTTGTCATTGTTTTAGCAGTCTCTGGCCACGTTCAAACCTTCCAGCCCCAATGTATGTGGCCGGTGCTGAGCCATAATTTGGAATGTTTTTTGCTGTTGAAATTATGTCTAGTGGTGGAATTTTTTATTTTTTGAGACAGAGCCTCAAGCTGTCCCCCTGGGTAGAGTGCTGTGGCATCACAGCTCACAGCGACCTCCAAGTCCTGGGCTCAAGCGATTCTCCTGCCTCTGCCTCCCAAGTAGCTGGGATTACAGGCACCCACCACAGCGCCTGGCCATTTTTTGGTTGGAGCCATCATTGTTGTTTGGCAGGTCCGGGCTGGATTTGAACCTGCCAGCTTAGGTGTATGTGGCTGGCGCCTTAGCCACTTGAGCTAGAATCCTATGGGGCATGCTGAAATGTCCAAGACAGATGTTAGAGAAGAGATGAACAGGCTCAGGCCTGTGGCTGACGGAGCTAAGGCACCATCCACATACACCTGAGCTGGTGGGTTCAAATCCAGCCTGGGCCCGCCAAACAACAATGATAGCTCCAACCAAAAAATAGCCAGGCATTGTGGCGGTGCCTGTAGTCCCAGCTACTTGGGAGGCGGAGGCAGGGAATCGCTTGAGCCCAGGAGTTGGAGGTTGCTATGAGCTGTGGTGCACAGCACTCTACCCAAGGTGACAGCTTGAGGCTCTGTCTCAAAAAAAAATAGAGATGAACAAATGCCTCTTAGAGAATCTGAAACGAGTTGTCCAAGCAGATTTTAAAGAAGAGATGAACAAATGCCTCTTGGAGAATTTGAAAAGTTTCTTTTTTTTAAGTTAAATCATAGCTGTGTACATTAATGCCATCATGGGGTACATTGTGCTGGTTTCACATACCATTTGAAATATTCACATCAAACTAGCCAACATAGCTTCACTGCATTTTCTTAATTATTGTGTTAAGATACTTATATTCTACACTTAGTAAATTTAACATGTACCCTTGTAAAATGTACTGTTGGTGTGCTGAAAGAATTTCATTTATAGCATTTGAGAAAATTCCCAGGCCAGGTGCTGTAGCTCACACCTATAATCCCAGCACTCTGGGAGGTTGAAGCAGGTGGATCACCTGAGCAAGAGGGAGACCCCTGTCTCTACTAAAAATAGAAAAATTAGCCAGGCATTGTGATGGGCAGCTGGAATCTCAGCTACTCTGGGAGGGTGAGGCAAGATGATGGCTCAAACCTACGAATTTGAGGTAGCTATGAGCTATGATGCCCAGGCACTCTACCCAGGGGAACAAAGTAAGACTCTGTCTCAAAAAAAAAAACACCAGAAAGAAAATTCTCAAACTTAGTAAAGGCTATTTGGTATGTATATGTGTGTTTAAACTTTTCTGTGTAAGTGGGAAGATCTGATGTTTAGAGATTAATTAGGTTGAAATAAAGTATAATATTCATTGTTCTACTTTGTTATCCTAATTTTATTGTCTAAACATATATCCACGTTGATATCTAAGTGCTTTTCAAAATATATACTTTAAAGCTTTTTATAAATTATACCCCAAATTCCCTTTGTTCTTTTTTTAATTATATACTGTTGAATAATTACTTGTAGCTTTTTATTTTTTTTAGTTTTTTGAGACAGAGTCTTATTATGTCACCCCAAGTAGAATGCCATGGTGTCACAGCTCACAGCAACCTCAAGCTCTTGGGGTCTAAGTGATTCTCTTGCCTAAGCCTCCCAAATAGCTGGGACCTACAGGTGCCCACCGCAACGCCTGGCTATTTTTTGGTTGGAATTGTCGTTGTATGGCAGGCCCAGGCTCGATTCGAACCCACCAGCTCAGGTGTATGTGGCTGGCACCCTAGCCGCTGAGCTACAGGCGCCAAGCCTACTTGTAGTTTTTTAGTTGTTAGCTGTAAGATTGGGAGGTAGTTTGGTTTTGTTATACATGAAAATGTTTAGAACATAAAGGCATGTTCTCATAGAAATGTATAACACGTTTTTATTGTTTGGTTCTAGGAAAATCTTCCTGTTATAGAAGATAATTTCGTGAAACTTCAAGTTAAAGCTTGTGCTCTGAGCCAGATAAATACGAAGGTATTGATGTATTTATTATGACCAAAAGTCAAGTGAGAATTTCTTAGTATATTTAATGTGCAAATATAATGATAACTGACTTCTGAGTGTCATAAAACTATCATCTTTAGGCTTGGCGCCCATACCATAGTGGTTACAGCTCCAGCCACACACACTGAAGGTGGCAGGTTCGAACGTGACCTGGGCCAGCTAAACAACTGCAACAAAAAATTAAAAAAATAGTCCGGCACCTGTAATTCCAGCTACTTGGGAGGCTGAGGCAAGAGAATCACTTAAGCCCAAGAGTTTGAGATTGCTGTGACACCAAGGCATTCTACTGAGGGCAACATAGTGAGACTCTGTCTCAAAAAAAAAAACAAACAAAAAAACTATCATCCTTAGAAGAATAGAACAGCTAGGAAAAAAAATTATGCATTTTTATATTTCTTTATTAAGGGAAATTATTATTTATATTGAAGTGATGTATATCATTATATGAAAATATTTTATAAACTCCTTTACTTTGTAAAATCTGAGGGTTTATAATTCATGTTTTTGTTTGTTTTTTGTTTTTTTGGGGGGGGGGGGTTTGACAAAGAATCTTGCTCTGCTGCCCAGGCTAGAATGCAGTGGCAAGGTCATAGCTCACTACAGCCTCAAATTCCTGAGCTCAGGCAGTTCTTCTACCTCCGCCTCCCAAGTATCTAGGACTACTGGTGTGTACCACCACACCTGGCTGGTTTATGTTTTTATTTTTTGTAGAGACAGGTCTTGCCATGTTGCTCAGGCTTGTCTTAAACTCCTAGCCTCAAGCAGTCTTCCTGCTTCAGCCTCCCAGAGTTCTGGAATTACAGGCTTGAGCCACCATGACTGGTCTGAGAATTTATAATCAGTAAGGCCTATTATCAAGGACGAATTTACTTTTATAAATGTAGTAAACATAGAAACCTAATCAATCAATTTATCAACCATCAATTCTATAGATATTTCTAGTTATTCTTGAATAACTCATAAACACACACCACCCTGCAGATCTTTCATCACTGCCTATGAAATATGTGGAAAATTTGTTCCCTTTTTGTCACCCTCGGTAGAGTGCTGTGGCGTCACAGCTCACACCAACCTCAAACTCTTGGACTTAAGGCCAGGCAAGTGGCTCACATTATAATCCTAGCACTCTGGAAGACTGAGGTGGATGAATTGACAGCTTACGGATTTGAGACCAGCCTGAGCCAGAGCGAGACCTCATCTCAAAATGGCCGGGTATTGCCGTGGGCGCCTGTAGTCCCAGCTACTCCAGAGGCTGAGGCAAGAGAATCACTTAAACCCAAGAGTTTGAGATTGCTATGAGCTGTGACACCACAGCATTCTACCAAGGTAGACAAAGTGAGACTCTCAAAAAAATAAAAAAAATTATCTTGCCCCAGCCTCCCAAGTAGCTGAGACTACAGGCACCCACCACAATGCCCAACTATTTTTTTTTTTAATTGTTTGGGATTCATTAAGGGTACAAAGAATTTGGTTACACTGATTTTATTTGTTAGATAAACTCCCTCTTATGTCCTGAAATTTTTCAGATGCTAAATAAACTACAGTTAAATGTGTCACAATAAATGGAACAAGTCTAGTTACTTAACTAGTTTTTAGAGATAAATACCATACTTACTGGGTTATGATGTCACCATAATTTTCAGAGATGTAAACATTTTTTTTTGAGGAACTCTCAGTTAGAGAGTTGCAGAATGAGGTATAGGATTCCACTGGACAACTCTGTAACACAAGCATGATTTCAGAAATGAATGAGGGCTCGGCACCTATAGCTCAACCGGCTAAGGCACCAGCCACGTACACCTAAGGTGGCAGGTTCGAATCCCCAGCCCGGACCCGCCAAACAACAATGACAGCTGCAACCAAAAAATAGCCGGGCGTTGTGGCGGGCGCCTGTGGTCCCAGCTACTTGGGAGGCGGAGGCAGGAGACTCACTTGAGCCCAGGAGTTGGAGGTTGCTGTGAGCTGTAATGCCACGGCACTCTGCCCAGGGGGACAGCTTGAGGCTCTGTCTCAAAAAAAAAAAAAAAAAAAGAAAGAAATGAATGAGATCCCTGAAGTGTTTTCACCAAAAATACTATTAATAGACCTTATCTGGAGTCTTCTGTATACAGAAGGTGTTCTTAATAAAACTATGGAAAATCCATTGAAATTGAAGTCTAGGAAATAATCTCCCTGTCTAACAGAAAGAAATGGTAAGTTATGGTAAAATCTCTTGAATGAAATATTGCACATATGTAAAAAATAATTGTTATGTCTCGGCACCCGTAGCTCAGCAGGTGGGGTGCCAGCCACATACACTGAGGCTGGTGGGTTCAAACCCAGTCTGGGCCATCTAAGCAACAATGATAACTGCCACAAAAAAAAAAAAAAAAAAATAGATGGGCATTGTGGTGGGTACCCGTAGTCCCAGCTACTTGGGAGGCTGAGGCAAGAGAATTGCTTAAGTCGAAGAGTTTGAGGTTGCTGTGAGCTATGATGCTATGGCACTCGACTGAGGGCAGATAGTGAGACTCTGTCTCAAAAAAAAAAAAAAATAGTGACCACGTACACTGAGGTTGGTGGGTTCAACCCCAGCCCTAACCAGCTAAGCAACAATGACAACTGCCACAAAAACAAAAAAAATAGCTGGGTGTTGTGGCGGGTTCCTGTAGTCCTAGCGAGGGTGACATAATGAGACTGTGTCTCAAAAAAAAATAAATTAATTATAGTGGTTATGAAAATGTCATAGTAATGATAATGTAAGAAAATGCATATGAAAGCTGCTGCATGTGGAGGGTGGGCAGTAATTGTGCGCAGGTTGGGTTGGTGTACGCACAGGCTGCAGGCACTGCGACTTGTGCCGTGGGGTCTGCCCTCAGGGTGAGCGCGCTTGGCACGGCATTTCCTCCTGTGTGTGGCTGCAGCTTGGGCCTTCGGCCTGACCCAGCCTCACTATGGTTTCAGCTTTGGAAGAGCTACAGAAAGATCTAGAAGCAGCAAAGGTGTTGCTGGAAAAAGCCACTAGGAAAAAAGTATGTGACGCCCTTACAGCTGAAAAATCCAAGATCGAAACAGAAATCAAGAACAAGATGCAACAGAAATCACAGAGGAAAGCAGAACCTCTTGACAATGAAAAGCCAGCTGCTGTGGTTGCTCCCATTACAACGGGATATACAGTGAAAATCAGTAATTATGGATGGGATCAGTCAGATAAGTTTGTGAAAATCTATATTACCTTAGCCGGTGTTCATCAAGTTGCCACTGAAAATGTGCAGGTGCATTTCCCAGAGAGGTCATTTGACCTTTTGGTTAAGAATCTAAATGGGAAGAGTTACTCCATGATTGTGAACAATCTCTTGAAACCAATCTCTGTGGAAGGCAGTTCAAAAAAAGTTAAGACTGATACAGTTCTTATCTTATGTAGAAAGAAAACAGAAAATACACGATGGGACTACCTAACTCAGGTTGAAAAAGAATGCAAAGAAAAAGAAAAGCCCTCCTATGACACTGAAACAGATCCTCGTGCGGGACTGATGAATGTTCTAAAGAAAATTTATGAAGATGGAGATGATGATATGAAGCGAACCATTAATAAAGCTTGGGTGGAATCAAGAGAGAAGCAAGCCAAAGGAGACACAGAATTTTGAGACTTTAAAGTCTTACTGGGAACTGTGATGTGGCTATGTTGATGTTTCTAATAAGGGAATGTTGGTGAGGTGCATATATAATTTTGACAGATAACTATTTACATAACCTCTTTCTAAGTAAAAGCATTGAAATCTCCATTTCCTACTGGAGGGTTTATTTAAATAAAATATGCTTATTAAACATTTCCTGAAAAGATGGTTTCATTAGTATACTGGTTATTTTCTTGAAGAAAGGGTTATATTGTATTATCATGTGAAATGTAAAAAGCAAGTCCTGCCTAATGAAAATGCTACATTGCATGTATTTTTGTTCAGCTAAGAGGTAGAAAACTGAAAGTATTTGTCTTTGAGTTACTGACATCACTTCCAACCAATGTAAGAAGTAAGAGTAAAATCTGAATTTTTGTATAAAATACAAAAAAAAAAGAAAAGAAAATGTGTATGATATTGTAAGTGAAGGAGGTAACCTGTAATTGCTAAAACCATCATCATAATTTGGTAAAAATATTCATGAAAGAAATACTATAAAACTGGGCGGTGCCTGTAGCTCAGCTGGTAGGGTGCCAGTCCCATATACCAAGCAGAGCAGGTTCAAACCTGGCCCAGGGCAAACTGCAACAAAAAATAGCTGAGCATTGTGGCAGGTGCCTGTAGTCCCAGCTACTCAAGAGGCTGAGGCAAGAGAATTGCCTAAGAGGTTGCTGTGAGCTGTGACACCACAGTGCTCTACCAAGGGCAATAAAGTGAGACTCTATCTCTAAAAAAAAAAAGAAAGAAAGAAATACTGTAAAACATTCAGTATTTTTATAAAGAATATCATATGAATGTAAGTAAAGTATAAAATTCTGTATTTTATTGACAATCAGTATACATACAAGAAATCAAAATATTGTGAAATAAAAGGAAAACAGAGAAAATAAGTATTTCAATTTCATTTTATTTATTATTCCCTAAATAAATACTGTAATTTCTATACATATGTTCAGAACCTCTACTATTATTATAAATGACAGGAACTTAAATAGTAGGCTTATCTAAGTATACTGTTACTTCAAAACACAAGTATCCGACTCGGCGCCTGTGGCTCAAGTGGCTAAGGCACCAGCCACATACACCTAAGGTGGCGGGTTCGAATCCAGCCTGGGCCCGCCAAACAACAGTGACAGCTGCAACCAAAAAAATAGCTGGGCATTGTGGTGGGCACCTGTGGTCCCAGCTACTTGGGAGGCTGAGGCAGGAGACTTGCTTGAGCTCAGGACTTGGAGGTTGCTGTGAGCTGTGATGCCACAGCACTCTACCCAGGGGGATAACTTGAGGCTATGTCTCAAAAACAAAACAAAACAAAAAAAAGACAAGTACTTACAATTAATTTGGTCAGAATTTAACAAAATACCAATCTCCTAAAATAAAATTTTAGCCTTAAAGAAATTCTAATCACCATGAATCCAAAATCCTATGGCAATTTCCCTGTGAATATTCATGATTTCTTCTCACCTCCTCCCTAACCCAAAATTTGTGAGAAAAACTCTGGTGATTTTTTTTCTTTTGTAGAGACAGAGTCTCACTTTTTTGTAGAGACAGAGTCTCACTTTGTCGCCTTTGGTAGAGTGCCATGACGTCACACAGCTCATAGCAACTTCCAGCTCCTGGGCTTAGGTGATTTTCTTGCCTCAGCCTCCTGAGTAGCTGGAACTACAGGCACCCACCACTACACCCGACTATTTTTTTGTTGCAGTTTGGCCGGGGCTGAGTTTGAACCTGCCACCCTTGGTATATGGGGCCATTGCCCTACCTAGTGAGCCATAGGCGCCACCCAAGCTCTGGTGATTTTACAGGATGTGGGAATAGAGAACGTTCTTTTCTCACTGGCCACATCCTCTTTATTCAACAGTGTCCTCTCCTTCACTTTACCACACTTGAGTAAGGTGACTGATAACAGTGTTTAGCTAACCAAGAAATGTTTGGCCATAATTTCTCTTCATACTTGGCAAAGTAAAGAAATTAAACAAAGAATGTTAATGGTAATTTGAATAATAATACTCATTACTAAGTCCTATTTATCAACTAATTCTTCAGCAAACTCTTGGTTTTCTATTCTAGTTTGTGAAGTTATTTCCTTTATCTTAATTCCAAAAATTGAATCATATTTACTCTTTATGTAGTTTGATTTTTGCTCTTGATTTCCTCATGTATGAGTGAGCCTAGGATTTATTCTTCATAATAATGTGTTAATAGCCTTTGTCATGACTTAGCTTCTGGCAGAAATGAAGATGAAGAAGGAATTCTTTCCTGTTGGGAGAGAAATTGCTGGAATTGTGTTAGAAGGTAAGTTGACATATATAAATATCTGTATTTATTTTCTAAAAGAAATTTAAGGCCTGGTGAAGTGGCTCACACCTATAATCCTAGCACTCTGGGAGACCGAGGCAGGTGGATTGCCTGAGCTCACAGGTTCAAGACCAGCCTGAGCCAGCCCAAGACCCTATTTCTAAAATACCTGGCATTGTGGTAGGGGGCTGTAGTCTCAGCTTCTCAGGAGACTGAGGCCAGAGAATTGCTTGAGCCCAAGAGTTAGAGGTTGCTGTGAGCTGTGATTCCACAGTACTCTGTCAAGGGTGACAAAATGAGACCCTGTCTCCTAAAAAAGAAATTTAATGATAGCTGATTCATTTACCAGTACACAAAATCATATTTATCCCTTCAAATATAAAATTTAATTATGCAAAATGTTATCTTGTTTTGTTTTGTTTTAAACAGATGAGGTCTTGCTGTGTTGCCCAAGCTGGAGTACACTAGTTGTTCGCAGGGCAATCATAACTCATTGCAGCCTCAAAATCCTGGGCTCAGGAAGGCCTCTTGCCTCAGTTTTACCAACTAGCTGGGATTACAGGTACACACTATCATGCCTGGCCTTTTTTGTTTTTTTCTTAATTATAAAGAAAAATAGGACCAATTGTTATTTTATAAATGAAGGGCTTATTACCTTTTAGTACATGTTTAGGAATTATGTATTTAAATCCGCAAATAATCACAAATTGAATAGAGTAACAGATACCATCCTTTTTATGATGTTTACAAACCAGCATAAATTACTTGGGTAAGTTAGCTTTGGACCAGAATTTATTTAATAGGAAATATGTTAAGCTGAATTTTTTAAACTTTGCCTAACAATATGTTCTCAAAAACTGGCGATTATGATTTCTGGGGAGAAATAACCCGTGAAATTTTACGGGTGTCTTAAAATATATTTTCAAGTTTTATTTAGTAAATAATGATCTTAACATGTAGAACAATAAACCCAAGTTATTTTGTATAATTTGTTTCTAAGTAGACCTATGCTTAATATTCACTGATAAGAGTTCATGATTAACTAATGTATCTTTGCTCTTGCTGCATACGTGAATATGTTAACATGGGTTAGACTATATTTGAGTTTCACCTGTGATTTTAATTTACAGTATATTTGATGTACTTCTCAATGCAATAGCTAAATGATAATTTCATTTACTCTCTTTTTTCCTACTTAGACTGTAGAAAAGTAAAAATAACAGCCAGATGATCATCTGTTTCACACTTGAGCATTTGCTAAGTGTTTAGGATATGAATGTGACAGTCCCTGCCATAAAAGAGTTCACTAGCTAGAGGAGAGGCAGATAAATACTTATGAGCAGATTATTATGAAAACTCTGAGGTGAAGTGCTGAACCCAGCCAGAAAGAACAGGAAAGGCTTCTTGGAGTAAGTAGTCCAGATGGTGCATAGCAGACAGGTGGAGAATCATACTCAGCAGAGAGGATATCATGAGACAAAACAAAGAAGCAAGTACAAATGGGATGTACATAAGAATTAGAAAGAGTTGGTATTGCTAGAGTGAAATAAATTTCTGGACAGGAGTCAGCGGCAAGCTACTTCGCAGGAGCAGAACATTTTGTCAAGAAAATTCTCCTCTAAATATTGAGACACATGCTGTCCACTGTGTTAATAGTGATGGCCTAAATTTTCTAAAGAATTCATATTTGAGGTGGCCTATCCTACTATCCTTATAAACCATCAAAATGCCCTAGAAGTTCTTGGCCTTTTCTCTGTGTTAGTGATACTTTATAAGCCCATGGATTTTTAAATTTTATTTTAATAGTTAAGGATTATATTTTAAAATCTTGTAATATTAACTATTAATTTTCTTCACTCTCTAGTTGGAAGCAAGGTATCATTCTTTCAACCAGATGATGAAGTAGTCGGTAAGTTATAGTTCATGGTCCTATTTTATGTCATAGATTTCATTGTCATCTCCTTTTTTTCTCTACAACTAGAAAAGTTTCTTGTGACCCACATAATACAGAAATACTGCCTTGGCTGAGCTCAGTGGCTCACACCTATAAACCTAGCACTTTAGGAGACTGAGACAGAAGGATTACTTGAGCCCAGAAGTTTAAGGTTACAGTAAGCTATCATGACACTATTGCACTTTAGCTCAAAGTACTGTTTTTGGAATTTTGTCAAATATTACATCAATGATGAAAATTGAGAATTTGATCCTAATAGAAGAACATTAAAACTTTTCAGTATTGGGTTGTGGAACAATTTTATAGATAAAAAGATAACCATAGTTATTACTATGCTTGGTGCAACCCTTTCCTGAGAGGTCCCTAATCTGTGGCCAGACTAAAATTTATAGAAAAAGAAAGTCATGTTGGCTGGGAGCAGTGGCTGACGCCTGTAATCCTACCACTTGGGAGGCCTAGGCTGGTGAATTGACTGAGCGCACGAGTTTGAGACCTGTCTGAGCAAGAGCGAGACCCCGTGTGTAAAAAATTGACAAGCAGGCTCAGTGCCTGTGGCTCAAGTGGCTAAGGCGCCAGCCACATACACCTAAGGTGGTGGGTTCGAATCC